CCAGTCCAAGCAGAATCTGCAAGACATCACCCAACTGAAAGCAAGACTAGACCTCTGGCTTTGGACTCCGGTTTTCAGACCCTGTCTGCCATTTCATCAGCCGGACATTCAAGCTTCATTTTTCTCCTGTGTTAAATGGGAATAATAAGAAATCCACCTCCTGGGCTCACTGTGAGGGTCGAATGGGGTAATTTTATCAGTAGCTGAGAAGCATGAATATTTGATCTATGTCAGCCTTTGTTACTGTTCTCCGTCTTGGTTCTTCCACTAGTGACTTTACCTCTTTGAATCTTAGTCTCCTTCTCTGTAAAATAGGGAATTAATAGTTCTATCTCTTAAGGTTGCTGTAAAGATTAAATGAGTTACTGTACATGAAGTACCTAAAACAATGTGTACATGTAGTGTTAACTATTACTATTACAACTACTACTGTTGTTCATACTATTAATAGCTTCTTCTCCCTCCTCCTCCTCCTGCTAAAACTACTACTATTACTACTACGCCACTGTGGCTGCTATTGTTGCCCTGGTAGTTGGGTAGTTAATACAGTTGCAATGAGATCTAGAAACGGCAACTCCCTCCTCTATGTGAGGGATCCTTAGCCTGTGTTTAAACTTTCAATTTAATTTACTATATGCCGTTCACTTTAAAATGTTTAAAGCTATTCAAACATTTTTATTTTCTACACATAATGCCAAAAAACCTGTTGAACTGATTGTCCATTTTTTTTTAGCTGAGTTGTTTGGATATGCTGTAGACAGAACTTGAGACAACAGAAGAGTTAGTGAACTTCAATTGTTTATAAAGGAGCGGCATAAAAATAATCTTTAAAGCTAGGGGAATGTTAATATTTAGATCCATCTAAGGGAAAATAATAACAGTTTGTGATTTCCTCCCGCCTCACTTCCAGGGCAAACATTTTTAAGGGAGGATTTGATTTGGTAACATAAATTGTTTTCTATATAACCCCGAAGACATGTGTGATTAATAGTGAGCTATAGAAAGAGATGCCCGTAATTAGCAGCTTGGGTACAGTCAGATATAAACATATATTTTGTTTGTGAAACATGTATCTTGAAAAAAATACATCCTGCTAGATGTCACAAAAGGGTCAAGATGCTAAGATAAAAAGTAAAGACAACATTTTGAAAATAAAATCAAAATCAAATATGATAAATACATGCATACCCGAACCACAGTAAGCCTAAGACAAAATTGTCTCCTGGTTTTTAATTATCATCATCATTGTTGTTGTTATTACTTGTATCAATGTTGATATAGTATTGTGATTCTGATTTTAGTCTTAATTACAAGGACCTTAACCAAAAATATATTATGTTGAATTAAGATAAATAAATGCTTTCAATATAATGGGTTATTAACATTTTAAGACTGTAAAATATACATGGTTTATTATCACTAATAATAGAATTATTGTTAATTATATAACAATTCACTAGTATTCACTAAAATATTAGTAATAATTCATGAATAATCACTGTCACTAATAATTTTCACTAATAGTTCAGTATATCACTAATAATTACATTAGTGAATAATTCTTAGTGAATTAGTGAATTATTCACAAATAATATAATTAAAATTAATTAGCAAAATAATTCAGTAATTATAGAATTATTCATAATAATAATGACATAAGTCACATCTGACCCTTATTGGGCAATGGCCTAAGTTCTTTAAATGCATTTAAAGCATTAGACACTGGTGTAAGTTTTTTAAATGCATTGATTCCTTTAATCCTTATGAAAATATCCCCACTTTATTGATAAAGACACTGAGAAAGAGAAATCAAGTAACTTGACCAATGTCACATTTTCATAAACAGTTGTGATGTGAACACAGGTGTGCTGAACATCAAAGCTTGCTCTCTAAACCACAGTGCTGAACAGAGAACCACCTGGGTAGGCACCCTCATCTGCTGCTCACCATGAACATTCAATATGCCAAGGTCGGCTCTCCTAGTCTCACTCCACGCATTCATATGGCCACTCAACATGTGTTAGGAAGATGGTCACTCAATTCAAGCAGCAACAACACTATGTTCCACCATTTTGTTACATTTGCTAAGCAGGAGAGCTGGACTTTTAGCCAGAACCACTGCCTCTCACCACACACATCCCAGGGAGCTGCTCACAGAATACTGTTTGGCAGCCACACCCTGCAGTTGTGCAACATGGCTGCCCCGTCCTGATTGCTCTGAATGTGGTTTGTGACTCAGCACGAAAACACTCCAGCCGGTGATTGGACCAGGAGTAAACATTTCACCACAGGGGCCCAATCAGATTCTTACTATGTGGACACTGACCTGAGAGCCACAAAAGAGCCTCCTCTATCGGTGGGACCACTGCTAGAACTGAACAGGTATGAGGCCTGGGGCAAGGTCAGCACAGTCTCTGCATAGGCTGGGGTGGCAGAAGACTCTAGGAATGAAGACGGACAGAGGCAAGGCACACAGGGAGAAATAAAAGGGTTCATGTAGTCCCCTTACGGCAGAGAAGGAAGTTCATTTTTAACTTTCCAAGAATCCACTCAGACCCCACTATAGTCTTCTGCTTGGTTTCTGAGAGATTTTTGTGTATTTTTTCAACAAACCCGTCTTTGTATTTGCCTGAGGTTAAGGGCATACTGATCTTTGCAGGACAGAGAAGTGCCCGTTCTTAACCAGATTTCATCAAATGGAACTTTTCTTGATTATATAAAGGGCAGGCTTGAGTCTCAGTCCCCAGATTCATGTGTGCAAGAAATGCGACTTTATTTTTCCATACCACAGCTGAATTTCTATCTCGAAAGGCCATGCCTGTGACAAGGTAGCAGAAGCCTAATCTAAGTTACATTGGGATTCTAGGGGGTGAGCAGAGCTGATCAGGCAGGGATGGGGTGGTAGACAACAGGTCCTCAGTCATCTTGAGCCGAGCACAGTGGCATCTGCATTGATGTCCTGGTCCCGCCTGGTCCTCGCTACCATGCAGTAAGTTCATTGCTGCCCAGCCCACGTTCCCACCTTTGCCTCTGCTCTTCTTTCTCCTTGAACTCCTCTCTGGTATACAGTAATTCACTCACTGCTCCACACTGTGCTGGGGTGTGAGAAACTGTGGGGACATTAAAAAACCCATCTACTTGGCTCAGAGAACCATTCTTCCCATGATTCTTCCCATGGAAACTGGTGCTCCTGAAGGCCCTTCATTGCCATACAACCATGTCTCCTTTGAGCACTACCCAGAAAGTGAGGGCCAGTCCCTGGGTAAACACAGCTCCCACAATTCTATTGGAGGTTCTGGAATTGTACCTTCCCAGGATTCAGTCTGGGTAGGGACTGGATATCAATCCTCTTTCTCAGAGACGATCGAAAGAGACACTTCCAGATATGTCCCCACAATGCCCTGATGCTTCTTGACCCCTAGGAATCTTTACCCCATTTGGGGTGGACTACTGGCCCTCACAGCTTAGGTATTTTAGCCCATCTGTCCCAGATTCTTCACTTTCCAGAGGGAGATAGGTTTTGGAACTCAAAAGGCAGTATTTGACTTCTTTTTCTATATTTACTCTGTGACACATCTTCCAGTGAAGCCAGACTGACCTAGTTTACTGAATGGAAGAAGAATCAAGGGACTCCAGTAAATACCAGAAAAATCCTCAGCTGGTATTTCAAAACATTGTCCAACATGCTGATTTGGGACCCTTCAGCCTCACAAAGCTTGGTTTTGGCCATGGGTTTCAGTTTCACTGTGGATTTTGTCTAGATGATGTTGGCCAAGCTGAAATGGGGGTACCTCCACCTTTCAAAAGTGGAGTTGATGGCAGTTTGCTTCTGCCATTTTAAACATGATAATGGTGATAATGCATGCTGAAACATTCATCTAGTTTTCTTTAAGTTGTGCCTTTAAAGTACATCTTGCAATGTGAATTCTTGGAGCAAAGGAAATTATAAATGGAGATTTGTCTTCTTTTTTTTGTCTCACATCTTTTGTGAGACAAAATAATAAGCATTAAAAAATAAGCATTAAGAAAATGTTTCCTTTACTTGCTAAAATAACTGTCAGTCCACACCAAAAGGCTCATGATTTATCTTCTCTAATTCACTTCTCCATTTTTTAAATATATTAAATAGTACTTTTCCTTATATATTTTACTATCTCATAAAAATAAGACTAATATTTCAATGTGGACAAAGGAACTTATCAGTGATTTATAGAAAATAAATCCTCATGAAATACTACTTTAACAAAGAAATTAATCATACTGCTTTATCAGAGTCAATATCAAAAGTGAGAGCTGTGTCTAAACCTGATTGAGATATTTGCTTTTTCTTATTTTCTAGCTCCCCAAATTCTTACATTTTCCAATATTGCCACAGAGGCTTATTACCTACATCAGAATCTCTTAACCACAACTACAATAGCTCATTCTTCCCTTGATTCATTCAACAGAGATTTATTAAGAACCTACTGATATGGTTCGGCTGTGTCCCCACCCAAATCTCATCTTGAATTCCCACGTGTTGTGGGAGAGAGCCAGTGGGAGGTAATTGAATTACAGGGCAGGCCTTTCCTGTGCTGTTCTTGTGATAGTGAATAAATCTCATGAGATTTGACAGCTTTAAGAAGAGGAGTTTCCCTGCACAAGTTCTTCTCTTGTCTGCTGCCATGTGAGATGTGCCTTTCACCTTCCCCATGATTTTGAGGTCTCCCCTGCCACATGGAACTGTAAGTCCAATACAACTCTTTCTTTTGTAAATTTCCCAGCCTCAGGTATCTCTTTATCAGCAGCATGAAAACAGACTAATACACCTACTATGTTGGGCACAGAGATGCGGAGATGACTAAGCAAGAAACTTGCATTGTAGGCCAGTAGAAGAAACAGGGGTTACAACACAAAGTTGCATTCTATAACAAAGAACTTACTAGTATTAGTAAGTTACTAGCATTAGTAAGTGCTTGGAAACTAGAAGGCAGATGAAAACATATTTTTTTTAAAGTTACTAGCATTAGATTCCATTTACTGTGTTCCGGCCCAGTGCCAGTTCCACCATCCTTCCAGCCTCTACTCTGGCACCTATTCCTTTCCTCCAGCTCAGTCCAGATTAAACCCCCCTTATGCTATAAAAAAAGCAGAAAACAAAAAACTCAGGGATTCTTCAAAGTGATAGTGGCATTTCCCAATCTAGTTTAGGGAAATACGGGCCCTGAACTGTGAGGGCTTCCCCAAAAAAGGGGGCCTGTGGTATGTTTTTCAAATAGAGGGTACACATTAACATGCTTGAGTTTTTCCTTGTATGTCTTTCCATTTACAGTGCCCCTGGCCGTTCTTCTTTATTCCACGTCTCTCTCCTCCATCTGAACTGTTATTCATACTGCAAAACCCACTCAAATGTTATGTTCCCCATAATACCTTCCCTGATTTTTCCAGTCTTCGTAAATCAATCCTTTTTAAGAATCCCACCTCTCGTTGCATATTATAGCACTAATCACTTTGTATTACCCTTTGCTCTGCCTCCCTCAAAGACTGAAAGCCCCGGCCTTCCTCTTTGTAGCTCCAGCATCCAGTGCATTGCCTGCACATAAATGATTGTGTACACACTGAGCATTTCATATCAACTGTTCACACATTTTTTAAAACTGCATTACTTCCTTTCAAACCACCAGAAAAATCATGTGTGAATTGGGTATGCACCTTTCTCTTAAATTAAAATTCCATATTTGAAACAGGGTTCAAATCAATAGACAGGCATCTGTGATGACTACAGAGCGATTCCTAAGTTGCTCACTCCATCTTATAGGTTTTCCTTTTCTGCCCCATTATAAAATCACATATCATTAATTTCTTAGTGAAACCCCATCTCTACTAAAAATACAAACATTAGCTGGGCATGGTGGCACACGCCTGTAATCCCAGCTACTCAGGAGGCTGAAGCAGAATTGCTTGAACCCAGAAGGTGGAGTTTGCAGTGAGCTGAGATCGCGCCACTGCACTCCAGCCTGGATGGCAAAGCGAGACTCTGTCTCAAAAAAAAAGTGTTTTTTAAATTGTATTAAATGTTGCTAGGTATCTCCTTATAAGAAAAAAGGAAAAAACCAAGGAAACTATATTTCATCCCTTCTCACTTTATGCTGCCATCCCTGACAGCATAAGTGAATATTTGTTGGAAATGTTTTAAAAGCTGTATCTGGGAGAAAAGATAACCCATCCCAAATTCCAGTTTAGAGCCACCCTGTGTGCTCCCTGGGCTCCCCAGGTTTTTCCTCTGGATTTTCTTTTTTAAAAAAATATGTTTTCATCTGCCTTCTAGTTTCCAAGCACTTTCAGATAATCAGACAAACAGCAGGGCTGAGGTGGCCTGCACACTGGTCCTCCTCTACCTGCCCCATCTCCTGTGCCCTGTTGCCTCCTTTTATCACAGAGACTCAAAGGGAATTTGTTCACTTTGCCAACAACTCAGCCACTCTCAACTCAGCAAAGAGGTTGACTTATTTCATTCCCTGATAGGAAGGGAAATGTGACATTCTCCTCATTATTAAAACACCACTTTTTTTCTGACTACAATGGGAAATTTCAGCATTGTATATTCCCCAAATATTTTGATTTTTAGTTAAGTGGCATGTTTCCTCCACATTGTAAGCCCTTCTCTGACACACATGTCACACACACACACACACACACACAGTTTCTCATGGAGCTCTAAACAGCCTGACCTTCACCTTCCCCTTATTCCCCTCTCCCCGACTCTCCAGGTCTGCCCCCTGGCAACCTGGTGTAGCTCGTTAAGGCTGCAAGCTCATCCTCCATGGTGTCTTCATGCCTGTGATTTCTGTCCACATCTTCAGGCTTCGAAACAGAGCTCAGGGCTTCTTCACAAGGCATTCCTTTACTGACTACATGTATGCAGTGACCCCTCTCTAACCCACAGTGCATTTTAATGCTCTGGTGCCTATGTTTGCCTTTATTCCAAATGTTTCTAGGCTTATGTTCATTGTTATGTTTTGACTATCAAGCCACCCAAGCAGTGAGCTGAGGGGAGGGCATGAGCTCTGTAGTCAAGCAACTATTAGTTCTGGATCCTCATCTGTGAGCTATGAGAGGCCCAGATTCATCTTTTTTGAATAAAGAAATTAACACCCTCACCCCTCGCAAAATCTAACATTTCTGTGGGCATTAAATGAGGTCTCCTGTGTGAAGCACCTGGACTTCATGCCCTTCATGAACTACCTTACTGCTTCCCTGAGGGCAGGACCATGTCTTACCCCACTCCTGGGTCCAAGGAATACCTAGCACAGTAATACAGGATGTCATCAGCAGCAATGGTTGAAATGCTGAGAATTAACAAAAAGCTGGAAACATAATCCTCCTTGGCAAGGAAATGAGACAAATCTTTAACCATTCAGGATCAATGTGCCTCTAGATATGAAATGAGCATGAGATAGCATAAAAAAGCAGATCAGTCATAACACACAGATCATTTCTCCGCTTAGGAGCCTATTTTACTGAGCACGTGTAGAAAAACAAATGTCTAACACCTTTGGCAAAGGCTGCCTGGAGTCTCATGGGGGTATGTGTGAAAAAGTCTCCTGCCTTTTAAACTAACTGAGTTCTGACTGGGTTCTACTATGCGTCAGATCAAAAGGAGGGATTTTAAATACTACAATCAGACATTAAGTGCATTTCTTTAGTTTCTAAGCGAGTCAGAAAATGTGGCACAGTTAAGCAATGGACGTTTGCAGGCCAAATCTTCTCCTTAACCTCAGGAGTCAGGACAAAAACAACAGGCCCTTCATTTGAGTCTTCTCAGCTACACAATGGGTGTGAGGTGAGTGGTTATTTGCATGATTCCTCTAGTTTCCCATCACTAAATGAAGGAAAATGCCATTCATCCACATAAGAAATCTCACTGAAAAGCGAAGCACTTCTCTCTATTTACTTAAGCACTGGGCTAGAATACAGAGAAGTACAATAAATTCTAAACATGGTGCACATCTGGTCCAAAAGCCACAATCAGTTTATTGCTGCATCTGAAACATTTTCAGCAACTGTCATATAATATATTTTCACACATTTCTAACAAGACATTTTCTTGGAAACAAAATAGACAGGTATATCTGTCAGTTCCATTTCTTGCAAACGAAAGTGAAAAATGTTTGGCTCAGATGTCCGTACTGTCTTTGGAGCAGTGTAACTATCAAATGAGAAGGGTATTAGTCAAAGATGCCAGAACCTCGGGGGTTACTTCCAAAGAGTGGAATTACTGGCTATACAGAAAAATAAGATATATGCATGTATGCATGCACTTCCCTTTTTTCCCATTCCAACAAAACCATTTATTGCACTTACTTGAAAGAGATGTACCAGGGTCTTGTTAAACCATCTATCTCCCAGTACGAAAATATTGGGCTCCCTGTTAAATAGAATCTTCTCATCCCTGGGGCTCTTTGAGCAGAACTTTATTCAACATTTTATTAAAAATTAAAATGCAATTGAAATCACATTAAGATGCTAAAAAGCTCCACATTTGTACCCTAAACCCCTCATGGGCATTCACAAGGAGGGAACAGAAAGGTATCTGATAGCCAGAGAGCCCCAAACCCAATAAAGAAGGCTGCCAAAATGGCCCAATATAGGCCCCAGTGAAACCATTTACTGGTTCAGTGTTGGCTGCATAATCTGCCTTTAAGCACTTTCTTCTCTGCACAAACCCCAGGACTCCTTTAAGAGCCATGTCTCAGCACACAAAACTTTGAAGTGACTCACCCTTCCCTCCCCTTTCCCTGGCCCAGCCTTGCAGCCTCTCACACCAGCCATGAGGTCTTCGACCTTTCCTGATAACCCACTCACAGCACATTCTGCCTGCAGGGCAGAGAAGAAATGCACTGGAGCAAAATTATTGAAGCTTTGACAGCATTCATAAAAAGAATGAACACAGTCAACCCCCTTGCACACTTTTGAGCCTTTGCCTGTGTGGCTGCCTCCACCAGGAATGCCCTGGCTGGCTTTGCCTAGTGAATGACTCATCATGCTCCACAGCTCAGTTCAACTAGGGCTTTTTGGTGACAGCTTTCCCTAACACCCCTTCCCTTGCTGAATGAGGTGATCCATCCTCTAACATGCGGTGGGGCATCTCATACATCCTGCTCCCACTCCAACCTATTGCTCTGATATCCAATAGAAGGCAATATGTGTTACTGTATCTCCCACACCAGCCTGCAAACCCCTTCTAGGCAGGACCTTGGCTATATTTTTGTATCCCCAGCCCCTGGGATACTGTCTTTTATATGGAAGGGAGTTAGCAAATGTTTACTGAATAAAAGAATAATTGCAGCAATCCAGAAAATTCCTGACTGTGTCCAGACTTGTGAAGGGCTTCAGTTGCTTCTCCAAGAATGAAAAAGAGAACCTCAGGAAATGGCCAGTTGAGAGTTTTCAGGTCTTTCAACCAATAAGAGCTGATGGTAAGGAAGCCTAACGGACTGTATGATCCTGAAGGAGGAAAATGCATGCTTTCTCAAGCTGGGCCTGAAGTCTTGTTATTAGAATTAGAGAAATATGAAAGAGATAAAAGAGACCACCCAAAAGAAGGGAATTTGGGGGACTGCAGTGAATAGGAGACTGAAGGGTGAGCACTCTCCACTCTGAAAGACAACAGGTGAACAAAAGGCCAGGATCCAGGTGAGAAACTCCGGATAGGGGTCGGGGCAATGTGGGATGAGGATTTATTTGTCAAATGACAGCACCCTAGAAGGCAAAGACTCTCTTGAATATAAAAAGAGGTACATTCAGGAAAAACTGTAAAAGACTCTCCCCATGTAGGCAGATTAATTTAAAAGACAAGCACAGAAGGGATTGAGGCCCACAGAAAGAAGGAACTCCATGTGGTGCTCATTTGAGTTGAACAAAGGGACCTGCACTGATGAATAAACATGAGGCTGGTCCAGTACCTAAGTTCCCAGTCCAGAAGAGAAGTCAGAGGAAACCAGAGAACTTCAAAAGAGCTCGGTGGGTGCTGATGGGCTCACGCACATGGAGCTGTGGGAGCCCACAGCCCACAGTCCGAAGCTCTGAGAAACACATCGCGTTCTGCCCGTGGGCTGGTGTCCTCACAGCAGT